GGACAAAAACCTGGCGAGTGTTTCCGAGTAAATTTCCCACCCCTCCTCCTCCACCACCTGCTCCTCCTCCTCCTCCTCTTCATCCCCCTCCTCCTCCCCCTCCTCCTCCTCCTCCTTATCCTTCCCCTCCTCCTCATCCGCCATGAAGCCGAAGGAGCCTGGTTGAGCCATTCAGCGGCTTCGATAACTTTCCGTTATTTTTTCCCGACGATTTTCATCACGTGATAACCAGGTTTCGCGGGTTTTGGTCATTAATAATAACGTGTTCGCCGTGTTATATATGTATATATGTTTACACTGTAATATTCGAGCGTAGGAAGCGACACAATCCGCACTATAACTATCAGCGCAGTAAAAACGTGCGCGCAACTATTAATAATAATAATATTATTATTATTATTATTATTATTATTATTATCATTTAAATTAATTATAACACTAGCCGGTGGCTTCTAGGTTGGCCGCTTGTCCCAACCTTGGACATAGGAATTTAGTAATATGCGTGAGATGCGTGCTGTTCCTATCCGTGCATAGAAGTTTTTTTGGTGGTCAGTATGGTGGCCAGAGAGATCCTTGGGGGTTATTTTCAAACCGCTTGTTGATAGAGGCATGAGCTCCGACCAGCACTGCCTGAACTCTGCTCTTGGCGCTCCACGTTCTCCTGATCCCGATCTCCAGACCCTTCGTCTTTGCTGAGCCTTTCTGTTGCCATCACCATGACTTTGGTGTTATCTGGTTTCTCTTTCTTGTTGTGGAGCATATCGTTTAGAGCATTACATCGGGGGGGGGGTTGCAGATATGGTACGATGTGTCAGCACTACCATATTCAAAACTATGGTAGCTTCTCCGATGCTGACAACCGCACCACTTCTCAGCTACTTGTGCACCAAGTTCGCCACATATTTACCAGTATAGATATTCGGCATCTTATTATGACGGCTCGTGGCTCCATATACTGTCAGTCGATGATGTGGCTGGTGGTCTCCTAGCTCTGCATCGCTGCACATTCTACACTTGCTGTTTCACCTGTTGATTGGAGATGTTGCGGCGGTGGTTCCTAACGTAGAGTGCCTGGTCCTGTGCGGGCATCGATCAACTCGACCCACGCACCAACCCATCCTGTGCTGCGATGATCAAGGCTTGTGTCTCTTCATTGAGTCAGGAGCTACACAACCATGCGACGGTTGCAACCTTATCGACAAATGGCCTGGCGATGCTCTGGTGAAATTACCGATGCAGAGGCGGGTTCTTCAATTGCTCAGTCTTCTCAGCTTCTACGCTGGCTTTTAGTCTCGGCTTCGTTCAAGATTATCTGATGGGCTGTTGAGGCAAATACTTGGTCTCGATGTCGTTTGCCTCGGTTGAGATCAAGAACACTTTGCCTTTTCAGCCTTGCGAATCTTAATGAGCTTAGTGAAATTGTCCTGCTTAAGCTCGATAGAGTTTCTTAGGCCTGCAATGGCGGTGATTCGTGACATAGTTCGACCAGTCCAGGGTTACCATTTTGTCTCTAGTTTATCTACAGTCGCCCCACGTCTGATTTTGGAATGCGCGGAGCCCGTGTATGGTTAGTAGATTCCTTCCTTAATTGCGATCCGTTCTATGTAGGTATATACAGCATGTGTGCAAATGTATG